AGCGGGCGCGCAGCCGCGGCCTCCTGCCCAGGCGAGCCTGGGGTGAGCCTGCCGGCAGGCTGCCTGCAGAGTTTGCCCCGAAAAAAGGGCTTTACGCGGGAGGTGACCTCCAGCCCCTCGGGGAGGACCGGCGAAGGTCCTCCGGCTCTGCTCCTGCAGAAGCCCCGTTGGCAAGTCACCCTCGCAGCCTCCCCCGGGACTTGGGACGCCTCTGCTAGGCTCCTTGCAGCGCTGACCGTTCGCAGGCAGCGCCTGGTTTTACAGGCTTTCGGTCGCAGCCGCGAGCTGATGTCGCTGGTGAAAGACCTTTGTCTCAGGGCGAAAACTGACTTGGTTCCTGTGTGGATTTTGTCAGCGATCCTGTGCATCCTGAAGATCCATGCGAATGTCACGAGCCTTTGTTACTCGAACAATCCTCCTTACTCATCTTTCCCCTCTTTGCAAAGAGGGCAGCAGCAACTGGCTGGATACAAACATGCCCCAGTTGTTGGCACGCTCCTGCACTGAGTACCTCAACATCGCTTTCTTTGGAACCAAAATGGTGTCTTTAAGGCCAAGTTACAGAAATATGAATTGCTCTTTCCTTCTGCAGAGCCAGTGTTATGCTCCTGGCATCTTTTTGGACACAGACTGTGTTTCTTACTATGTTTGGCCACCTGCAGTTATCCCCACACTGTTTCCGGGTATCGTAGCCCTGAGTTTTTGAGACTTCTGCCTCCTAAACTCTCTGACTGCTTCAACGTGAAATCGAATCATCAAATTCTGTAGGAATCATCATGTTTTTTTCATTGCATTGAGTTGTGTGTTTGTTGCCATGTATCCCAAAAGAGTCAAACAACTCCTTCCTGTGACACTAGGATGCGACTTCAAACACATGGTGAAATTCATCAAAGAATGGAAGTGTTTTGTGGTTATAAAAAGGAAAGGCCGCTAGAGACAAGATTAGGTTTAAGAGCTTTACGTGCCTCTGTTTGAAAACATGAGTTCAGAATGATGCTGCAGGCATTGACGATTTTGTCTGTCTAAAAGGAGAATTGATTTGTATCACTTGACCTGCAAGATAACGATTGCAATCCACTTTTCACTTCCAGATAAAAGTCCTGCCTTCTGGTGTTTCCTTGGCAGGGAAGGCACTCACAAAAGTGTTCATTCCAATGTTTGCTCACAAGAGATGCCACTATATAGGAATTTTTCTTTTCTGAAAAGCTGGCTTATAAAAAGGCCGTTCATCTATTTGTGTAACTGATTTGGTCAGTCTTGTTTTAAGGTTTTAGACTTGCTGGGTCCTAGAGTAACTGTAGAAAATGCACCTAATTCTAAGTTGGCGTTTGGAGGGCACAGAAGCTGGCGCTTGGGTCCTGAGGTTTAGACCTTTCTTTCTCAGGACTGTTTCTATTCTGCTGAATCTTGCAATGCATTTGGAGTCCCATCCTACAGCCAAAGAAGGGAGCTGTTTGACTTCTTGGGGACACTTGGCAGCATATGCTTATGTTACTCTAGATACCCGAATTTCAATGTGACACTTACAAGAATGGCTCTGAGTGGTATTGTCTTCCAGGCCTTCCGTCGGCATGTGCTGGTGTCCGTTCCAAGTCGTGTTTGCTAGATCGCTGTATCTGCAAAAGGAGACAGTTTCATTTTTCTACCTCAAACAGGGTGATGAGACCAAAAAAATACTAGCCAATCTCTGATAGCACATGCCTGAAGAAGAGCGTAAGAACAAGGCAAGCATACACTGCCCCTTTCCCACTCCCCCCCATTCCCGCACTTGCTCGGCTTCCAATTGTTTTCAGCTCAGCTACTTGTTGAGCTAGATGTGACTTCTGTGTAAGTAGTAACCCTCCATGGGTTTCTTGAACTTGTCTAATCTCCCTTTGGATCCGTGTAAACTGTTAGCATCCACAATATCCTGTGGCAAGGCATTTCACAGCTTATCAAAGTTTTGCGGCAAGAACCACCACCTTTAGATTGTTTTGATCCTGCTTTCTGTTAGATCCATTCGATCTGCACTGGTTCTTGTAATGGAAGAGGCAGTGAAAAATTGGTCTTTCTCTGCCTTGTCTGTGCCACTCATTACTCTTACCGTCTGTGTAGCATCCCCCTCTGTAATCTCTTTTCCAGGCTGAGGGGCCTTTGCTTGGTTAGGTGTTTGTTATGTGGAAGACGTGTGCTTTTGATTGCCTTTGTCCGAGCCTTTTCCAGTTCTACTTTTTTTTTTCTTTTTTGTTTTTCCTTTGATGCGAAGGGTCAGAAATGCCCAGAGTGTTCAACAGAAAGGTGCACTAGGGATTTTTGCAGTGACCGTTCTTTTGGTCTCTCTGTTCTTTCTGTTAATTACAGATTACTCTTTTCTCAACTGGGAGCTCATTCTGATATGCTGGTTTTTTTTAGATTGCTTCCCAGGGGTGGCCTGGGAGGAATGCCTCAGGTACAGGCTCTGTGATGTGTCTGCAAGGTAGTTCGCTAGTGTGTGTGCTGCATGGGGTACATATGGGTACCCCATTTCAAAAGCTTTTGCAGAATCTCTGTTACAGCTCCCTTAGTATTTGTTCTAGTTTTGTCCACATCACATACACTCTGTGACTTACCCAGTTTAATACTTTATTTTCATTGCCCTTCAACATCCACGCTGATCCTGCTCTGACTTTCCCGTTGGCAAAAGACTAGAGAGGGAGTAAGAGGCTACAGGGAGCTCTCAAGACCGGGAAGAGAGGCATGCCCTCTGGCCAGTGACGCAGAGGCAGAGCCAACTGGCTGCACTATTTGGGGGGTTCTCAAACCCTGCTGGGACTGCAAGCCACATCTTCAGTTGCTGAGAGCATGACTGAGTTGCTGAAAGTCATTGCTGAGATTGGGCTTGCCAATTCTTGATGGTTCTGGACTTCTGTTGTGGCACTCAGTGGTGAGTTGGAGTTGTCCTTAAGGCACTGTACGATCAATAGGAGGTCTCTATGGAAGGGAAATGCTACTTTTTGTGAGTCTGTGCCAGTAGCTGTTAGTGATGCTGAAGCAGCTGCACGCTACTTTTTGGGAATAGA